TCTCTCTTTCCTTTTCAAGTGAAAACTTTATCTTCTCTTCTTGTTAATGGAAAAGATTTTGGTTTTGATTTGCATGACATTGCATGACATTGTCTAGGGCAGCAGGCACTTGTTATGACAATGGAGAAATTTAGTTTGCTATGTCTTTAGTAAACTAATGTATCATCAAATGAGAGATCCAACTGAAAAATACTTTTAAAAAAAGCGAGGAACACACCTAAAACACAAACAGAAAAACAGATATGGAGATCCCAGTGTACTGTATGCATTGATAACATCAATCTTGAGACCGCTTACTGAACTGAGTTATCTAGTGGGATCACAAGGAACAGAAAAGCCGCCATTTCTTTATTTGACACTGGGTCCCTTCTGTAATACATAGAAATATAATTTCTGCCATAAATGTTACTATATACGGTTTTCTGTCATGTCTGATGGCAGAATGTTTGGAGAATCCAAGCAGGATATAACTGTAGCTTTGGTATCCTGGAATTTTCCAGAAGAAGTCAGGGAAGTCCCAGACAGTCTCAGAATCCATGACCTCCATGACAGAATTGTATCCTTACTGATTAGTGAATGATTAATCATGCAACCCTGACATTGTCATAGCATAGCATGTAATGACGTGTAATATCTGTTTATTTTATTTATTGTATTGTGTCCAGCACTCAAATGCTTTGACACAGGATGTCCCTCAAAATGTATATTTTATCGTTTTAATTCAAATCTATCCTTTTGTAACCCTTCTGCCCATCTAAGTTGGCAGCAACAAGGGCCGGGTTCTGTATCTAGGGGTTCCGTTTCAATAACGCAATGCAAAACCAGCTCAAGCCCCCACTCAGTGACCTGGGACAATTACATACCACCCCCTGGGCACCTCTAAGAGGCAATACTTCCCCTCTCACAAGCACGGAGTCTGAGTGTAGCAGAAAATGTTTAATAACATAAGGTAAATGACATCAGCATTAAATTGGAAAAAACACCACAAACAGGATTCCTAACACAAACCATGAGCAAAAGACCCACCCCAGCAAATTGGGCTGTGTCCTTTCCCTTTGGTTCTTGAATCCAGCAACCCAAAAATCACCCAGAGTCCCCAAAGTCCAACACCCCCAAAGTCTCTTGGGTCCAGCAACCACCCAAAGTCCCAAAAGTCCAACAACCCCCAAAATCTCTGTCCCTGGTCAGTGCAGCCCCAGAGTAAAAGGGGGGGGCATGCAGGATGTTAAGGGGCACCTTACGTGATCCGAGGCCGACCGGCCGTCTCTCCGTGGGGTTCCGCCGCAGCCTTCACCACAAGCCAGTCCACTTCCTGCCGTCCCACAAACTGCTCTGCTCTACGAGCTGCTCCGCTCCGTTCACCGACCTGTGAGCCCCTCCAGCCGTCCCCGCAAACAGCTCCGCTTGCCTTTCCTTGGGCCACTCCAACCATCCCCACAAGGCTCCGCGCCACTCGCTGCTCCTCCAGCCATCTCTGCAAACTGCTCCGCCAGCCGCTTAGCAATATAGCTTCAGGCTCCCCACTAGTTAACACAGCACTCAGTGATCTCAGCTCTTAGTAACTTTAGCTCTTTTGTGATTTCAGCTCATAGTAGGGGAGCTCCAGTGCTGGTACACCATTGGCCCAAAGTGAATTCAGCTCAGCAGCCTGTAACTAGACTCCTAATGGAATCAAAGTTAGCGCTGACATTCAACAGTGGAGAGAGGAGGTAGTGCAATTGGTGTTTCAGGCCCTCAAAAGGGGCCCATACCATCAGATACAAATACCTACCCCATCCTCTCTCAACTCACTGGGTTGTGGAACCCATGTCCCCTGTCTAGCGAGTGCTATTTAGGTGATGGTGAGATCCTCTGTCATAAAACAGTTTCATTGTCCTTGATTCACATAATCAGGGTAACAACACTTTATTCCTCCTGCCCCAATAACAGAGAAACTGGAGATCCCACCCCATCCAAAGTAACCACTATCAGTTGCTGTTGTCTCATGCCAGGCGGGTGGGTGTGCCTATGCAAACAAGATCAGCCCCTGGAGTTCTTTTCCACACTCGCCATAATTCACCACCAGATGTCAGGGTAGAGCTCATCCTGACTCTGCTTACACTTTAATAGTGTTAGTTCCTTATCTCATGCCCCAAAGCATAACAGTCATCCTTGTATGGAGGCTCAGATAACCCAGTGGAGCTCAATCACATTATGGAAGTCACATGCTTTGTCTTTAAGAGCAAAAGTGCAAGTCTTCTATTACTTATAGATCAGTATTGATAGAAATTTAACCTGACTATATTTGCTTTGAAGAAGTGCTGGATGTACCATTTTTCCTGGACTCTGATGAAAGTCTTGAATTTCATTAGCATCACCCCCAACCATCCCATCCATTATTTCTCAATAGCTGTATGATAGTTCAACTCTAGAGAATAGACGTGTTTCTGAAATAACTCTGTGCTCCTATTCCAGTTGGTCAGAGTAAATTCTTATGAACTAGCTTAACACAAAAACATACATATTTTTTCAAAATAGCTTTTTTAACATAAAATCAAAAACGCTTTAAGGGTGCCTAACCTATACAGGCATTCTATCTCTTTCTAAACTATACAGAGATAGAATAATAGAAATGTAAAGCTGGAAGGGCTCCCAAGAGGTAATCTAGTCCAGCCCCCTACACTGAGGCAGGACCAAGTAAATCTAGACTATCCCTGACAGGTGTTTGTCAAACCTGCTCTTAAAAACACCCAATGCTGGGAATTCCACAACCTCCCTTGGAAGCCTATTCCAGAGCTTAATTACCCTCATAGTTAGAATTTTTTTTCCTAATATATTTAGGATTTTTCCTAAATCCTCCCTGTAGATTAAGCCCATTACTTCTTGTCCTACCTCCAGTGGACACAGAGAACAAATGATCCCGATCCTCTTTATAACAGCTCTTAACATATCTGAAGACTGTTATCAGGTCCCCACTCTGTCTTCTTTTCTCAAAACTAAACATGCCCAGTTTTTATGACCTTTTCTCATAGGTCAGGTTTTCTAAACCTTTTATCATTTTTGTTGCTCTCCTCTGGACTTTCTTCAGTTTCTCCACATCTTTCCTAAAGTGTGGTGCCCAGAATTGGACACAGTACTCCAGTTGAGGCCTCAGCAGCGCCAAGTAGAGCGAGACAATTGCCTCTCATGTCTGACCTATGACACTTCTGTTAATACACCGCAGAACTATATCAGCCTTTTTTGCAACTGCATCAAATTGTTGACTCATATTTAATTTGTGATCCACTATAACCTCCAGATCCTTTTCAACAATACTACCACCTAGTCAGTTATTCCCTATTTTGTAGTTTGCATTTGATTTTTCTCTCCTAAGTGTAGTACTTTGCACTTTTCTTTATTGAATTTCATCTTGTTGATTTCAGACCAATTCTCTAATTTGTCAAGGTCATTTTGAATTTTAATCCTATCCTTGAAAGTGCTTGCAACCCCTTCCAACTTGGTGTCATATCCAGATTTTATAAGCATACACCCCACTCTATTATCCAAGTTATTAAGGAAAATATTGAATTGTACTGGACCCAAGACTGATCCCATTAGATACACACTCCCAATTTGGCAGCAAACTGTTAATAACTACCCTTTGAGTATAGTCTTTCAACCAGTTGTGAACCTACCTTACAGTAATTTCATCTAGACCACATTTCCCTAGTGTGCTTATGAATTGAGAATGTCATGTGGGACAGTATCAAAATCCTTACTAAAATCAAGATATATCACTTCTACTGGTTCTCCCCTACCCATTTGGCCTGTAACCCCGTCAAAGAAGAAATTTGGTTGGCTTGCCATGATTTGTTTTGGACAAATCCATTTCTTATAACCCTATTATCCTCTTTATTATATTTATTAATAACCCCAATTATTAAACAAATTGATTGTTTAATAATTTGTTCCAGTACCTTTCCAGGTATCAAAGTTAGGCTGACCAGTCTATAATTCACTGGTTCCTCTTTTGTTCCCCTTTTTAAAGAAAGGTACTATGTTTGCCCTTCTCCAGTCCTCTGGGATCTCACCTATCCTCCATGAGTTCTCAAAGATAGTTGCTAATGGGTCGGCAAGGCCGGTGCTACCATTTAGGCAAACTAGGCGGTTGCCTAGGGCGCCAAGATTTGGGGGCGCCAAAAAGCGGTGCCCTCAATTTTTTTTACAGCGTTCCTACACCCCCTCCCCGAGCATGCGGTCGCCGCTCCACTTCTCCCACCTCCCGCAAGCCTGGGAGGGGAGGAGAATTAGAGCGGGGGCGGCGTGCTTGGGGAGCAGGCGGAGCAGAGGTTAGCTGGGTTGGGGAGCTGCCGCACGGCTCCCCGGGCTGGGGGGGTGGGGAGCTGTCGCGGGGG